TGAGCAAACTGTACCGGTAGGAGTTTGAGCAACATTAAGGGCATCCCCAATGGTGCGACGGTATAATCAGACTGAATTTTGACATTTACCGTCACTGTATTTTACTTTTGCGCAACCCCAACGGTAAAACGGTACAAAATCCGCATAACTGTCACTTCCGGATACTATGGAGGCTTGGGGTCAACCTTGTGCAATACCATCGAGGCATGAACGTCCGGACTGCCATCGCACAGTACGATCCTTAGCTACCTGGTGGAGCAACATACTGGAGTAATGCAATAAGTTTGTTGGGTGTTCATTATGGTCTCTTTTAACGTGCGCACTTGGCCCCGGTGTTTGGTGTGGTCCATTACTCGTGCTTAGGATCTCCCAAGCGTCGTCCATGTCCTCCCTTCGCAATAGCTGCAATAGTCGCCCCCACGCGGGCCCAAAACTGCTCGGCCTTATGCCCGCTCCCCTTAGACTCATCTTGGGATATGTTCAACCACGAACAAACTAGCTGGCAGTCCTCGTCAGTGGTGAAGTTCGCACCCCGCCTGTTGAGAGCCATTCCAGCAGTGTCAGTATTGGTATGGAAATGTCCATGCTCAAGTACATACGTTTTATTGGTGGAAATATGATGCTTTGTGGTTTATGATTGGCTCCGTTATTTTACTGTCGGGTGGTCACAAAACGGTAAAAATGGCCAATTTGCCGTCTCGCGGTAAAAATATGCCGTTTCCGGTAGATACCGTCGCACCGTTGGGGTTGCCAAAACTGCATATTTGACCCCAAAAACGGTAAAATAGCGTTTACCGTCGCACCATTGGGGATGCCCTTAATGGGGTCGTGATGGTTGTGGAACGTGGATCAGGAGGGCATGGCGTCTCATGTGGTTGGGTCATGGCATCGTGGTGTGTCGTTGCGTCATGGTCCACGGGTCATTACTGCGGGCACGTCGAGTACCACGTCAACCCACTGGCCGTGTACTTTGCCACGAGCTTGGTCAGGTACTGACCTATACCAGCAGCAATGGGTGGCGCAGAGCGAGCAGCGAGCAATCGGTGCTTCGAGTCATGGATGGCACGGTCAACTGGGGCATCAGAGCGGCATGGGCGGTTTCGTAGCGGCATCGGTGGCCTCGTAGCGGTATGGTTCTTCGTCGTTTCAAAATGATGAATGCATATTGATAAATGAATCCACGTCGATATTATTTCTTTGAAGTATTCCCATGTAGACGCATACATTATGCTGCCACTCAGGAATTGGCCATTTGTAGTGGCAACCAACCACTAGCCCCACAACAAGTAGCAACGAGTCAGTGTGTGGCTGGGACGACAGTCCACAATCTTGAAGTACACGATCTATTCATGACTCTACTCATCCTTATATGATACCAGAGTTGATATCACAATGTCATGCGGCGCTATGTTGCGGCACCAATGTAGTCCGAGCAGTACACAACAATGGTTCATGCATGTGTGTCATGGGTAGCTAGCGGGGTCCCCCGTTAAGCGCTTATGGACTGTTGAAGTCGCACCGCAGCCTACGATACATTGGACATGCTCTGCTTTTCATCACGACAATCACCGCTGCCATCATAGTAAGACGCATTAGTTAGTGGACACGACGAAAGATGCCCCAACGCACGTCGCGTCGATAAATTTAACTCTTTCTCCGGAGTACGTTTCAACGCGCATACAACGATGAGATCGCCTGGCTATACTTGTGCCTATTAAGTGCGCTCGAAAAGTGTCTTCCTGGACTATTTTTGTAGCGATGTGACAGGTGGGTTAACGGCTTGCCACCACCTTGCCCGCACCCAGCTCCTAAGTACCTGGCTCATAACGCATCCTAGCTCATGCTTGCCTGGGAACGTGTCTCAAGGGCAAGTATAGCTTAGAATCACTAGCCTAGTGAAGTTCCCAATGTCTCAACCGCACCCGCATCCATTGTATACAAAAGCGCATATTAGTGTAGAAGTAGTGAAGTAGATTAAGAAGATTTCATAGTGATGAGGATTAAGGAGATCTTTGTAGATCTTCAGTTAATTCATTGTGCATTTTGCCCTCAACTACGCACGCTTCCTCCGGCAGTGCTATATTTGGTAGCACTTCCTGGTTACCTCGCCCAAGCCCCGTTCAACTGCTGTAGCTGTACGTAGCCAGTGATCTTAGACGGTTGTTGTGGTCGTTTGCAGAGTCTACACATCGCCAAAGGTTTTGAAAACGTGGTCTTTGCTACCCGTTACCTGGTGATAGTCTCCGCAACAAAATCCATACACGTTCTGAGTGATCTGCTAGTGTATGCCCCG